CCTTCTTCTTCTTTTTCTTCTTCTTCTATCCCGTGGTTGGGGCAACCGTGGGGGCATCACTACCTCTGAAAACCAGCTCTCGCCATATCTTTGTCCTCTGCTTTCCTCAGATTGTCAATCATCGTCTTTCCTGTCCTCTCTGTAATGTTGTCCTCCCATCTCCTTCTCTGCCTCCCTCCATGTCTAGCTCTTCCTAAAAAAAAAGCTCATAATGTTGATCTTTCTCGAAAGCATTTGAATGATATAAATAAATACAGATCTTTCTTTCTGACCCAAGCTATTGAACAAAAAAATTAAAAGAGAAGAATAAAAAGAACGGTGTTGTATCAGGGGAACCAGCAATGCCATGATTATACTTATACTTGTCAAAGTAAATATCCACCTACGAGAATACACGTAACCTGCAGTAGTTTGTTTTTTAAATTTTTATTTTGAACTTGATCTACATATTATCTTATATTTTTTTCTTCTTAATTTTTCATGTCTTGCCAACTTGATGTTTCGCCGAAATATTAATGTGGCCAATAAACTTGATGTACCATAGCGTTGTGTCGTCTCCATAGATGTAACCATGTAACTCTATGGTCTTCTCCACTGACCTAAAACTATCTTTTTAGGTCAGTGGTCTTCTCAGAGAGTTATATTTTAGGCCTAGTGTCTCTGGTCTTCTCTCACAATTCACCGAGATATGCCGGGTTGGGGTTCTTTGCTAAGACAAGGAACAATTTTGAAAACACCGTTCCGTACTTCTTCCTTTCAAAAAACATTCCTGCATACTCATAAGTCCAGTGTCATTGGTTATTTCACCTTTCTGTGTAAAATAGATAAAGAATGCTTAGCTTTTCCCCAAAAGTAGCAAACCGAGAGCGAGAGTCCTGTTTTGTACAAGGAAGCGTAGGCCTATCTGAATAGAAAAGCGTGGCACACTAAGGCGCACTTCACTTCCGTTGCCTGTTGTCTGCTACGCTCATCGCTCAAACTGAAATCAAAACCAAACAGCACTAAACAGCCTGGAACAGTGGAACCAGGGCCCAGGGCCTTTTGTTTCCTTTTACTATAAAAGTAGAATTTACTTTGTCTCCTTTGTTTATTTGAGACAGAATGGCCTATTCAGCTACACAACGGAGCCAAACAGTGGTTCCGTGTGCCCCTTCTCAGCAAGTTGATGACTTGATTTTTACTCCAGCGTCCTTTGATTTCTCTGCTTCACAAATTATGAAGTCCCAGTCACAGAGACCCCCAACGTCTTTTGGAATTTTTGCTTCTCAAATAAAGAAGTCTCAAAGATTTCAGCCACCCAAGCGCTCCAGTACCCCTTCTGCCAAAAGCAATGTTGGCTCAGGTCTGTCATTGTCATTTTGGCGGTTTTCTAGTTTGGAATTTTTATTCAGACTTCACTACTTGGGGCTTTGGGAGTGAGTGGTGAAAAGCAGTTTAACAGATTCAGGCAATCCTTAGATTTCCACCACTTCTAAAATCTAGATTCTAGAATCTATTGTTTTCTGGAATGCTGTTCTCTCACTATTTATTCCAATATGTTGCTACACCCCATGGGAAAACGCATTCCAATAAACTTGATTAAGTAGAAATGTGTGTAAATTTGAAACAAACAAAAAAGCATCCTGTTTATTTATTTTTTATTTCATTTTATGGAACAGATCTGATTGGAGGAGGAGTTATTCGTGGAACTAAGTCAAAGGACTTTATGTCCCAACAAGCACCTGACAACAGACAGTTCCAAAGCATGTGAGTTCAGCTTGTTTTTACCGTTCTTTGAGATTCTTTTTTTCTTCTATTTTTCCAGTTGGTGCAAGGTGGATGAGGTTTTAGGAGGGCATCTATGAAAAATCCAATGCCTACCATAGAGAAGGAGCTGGGTCGCTTGGTTGAAGTTATTGTTCATTCCAAAAATGTTGGCAGAGACAATAATCCAAAGTAAATATCATATTACGTACATGTATGCATCTGAGCATTGATACTCGTTCATTAGAGGAACTGCACATTTTGCCACCACGCAATAATTAATAACTCTTCAGTCCTGCCAGTTTGTTCTACATGTTTCAATGTGAGGTACCACAACAAGTGTTCTTGGTAACAAGTTTTAATAGTTCTATCTTTTGCATATATCGACTGCTTAGTGTAAGACTCTACCATACACCTTTTTTGAAAAGTGACGTATGATGGAGTTTTACACATCATGTGGGGCAGTGCTACTGACTGAAGTGTCTTTAGGCCATTCCCAAAGGAGTGATATTAACCATGTTCTTATGCACAGTAGAATTGTAATTGCAAATAGGCTTGATTCATCAATGCCATGCTCATAACTGTGCCTGAACTGCAACATGGAACAGCTGCTTCTTCTTTCCTAATTCTTACTATCATCATTTTCCTCTACTTCTTTTGTATGTTTTTCACACTCTTGTGAACCGCTACTTCCGGGGTGCCTTGATAGTCGAAGCAGACTTTATGCTGTTGAAGCTGGAGAGGTGAGCAGAGTAAGCCTGATTCCCTGTAAGGACTTCTCTGTTGACATCCACCACTTGGCGCTCAAATGACCTTATTATGCAGTAGCGAGCGCCATAAAACCTCTACTAAAAACTAAAGGAGTTTTACACTGAACTGTCAATTAGATACTACTTAAATTAATTTCTTCAACTTATCGTTCATCATACAGTTTCTTTGTATTCCCCCAGGACGCCAATGCTGTACAACAGTGTGGAACATACAACAGCCTCAACAGATATCTTCTCTCCTGCCCCTCTTAGGATTCCAGGTATTTTCAGCGATGAATACTTTACTTTTGCAGCGCCAGACAGAGAGTATGACACCCCCCCCTGCTTTGAGCTGCAAAAATTTATAAGTACAAATTAAAATGCACGTTCACAGTGTACCAACTAGCACATTGAGAATTTTTGCATCATTTTCAAATTATTTTCAGGACTTTAGTGGTGGGAGATGTATGCTAAAGCACTTTGTTACCAATAAAAGAGTCCTATATTGAATTGGTACTTTAAGTGGTAAGTGATAAGTGATTAATTTTCTTTGTGTCATGTTCTTACGATGTATTCAGTGCTTCTGACACTGGGTGTATTGCCCTGATGATTGATTCATTCAAAGCTCTTTCATTACCTAATTCTTGTTTCTTCAACAGGTAGCAATATCCAACTGAGATCTATAGACGAAATTCATATCCTTTACTCAAAGAAGAGGAACGTGACCTTTGATTTTGTGCCTATCATCTTTTATACCTTTCTATGGATTATTTTTTTCAGTTTACCTGACAACTTTTCCCAATGGTCTTCTATAGGTTTCCATCTTAACCATGTTGAAAAATACAATCGACAATAACTAAGCACATCTTCAATGGTATCTGAGACCAGTTTGGCATTTGTATTGTATGCGTGATATTTGAGAGTTATTTGGCATTTGTATTGCGTGCATTTATACTAACACTGTGAAAATTGCTAATGCAAGCGTAAAATAAGTGTTCTTCTTATGCTTTTTGGAAGATTTCTTTGTCAGTAGAGATTCTGACAGCTGGTGCTCCTCCTCTGAAATAACCTCTACTGTTTGAACTTGGGCAGAGACAAGAAAACAAAAGCCTAAGGAGGTTGTTTAGTTATATTCCTTGACCACCCAGTACCATCTAGGTTCAGAAATGTCTTCACCTTTCCTTTCTTCAATGTTCTTCAGTCCATGGTGATGGATCAGGTAAGTAAAACCGAGCAGTGTTTTTGTTCTGTTAATTCTAAAATAAGAACATACTATCTGAAGTCTCCTATTTTTGCTCTCAAAGTCTCATCAGACCCTTGACTTTTGAAAAGACTCTTTTCAACATGGCTGTAATTTTATAATGAATATAGGTTTTTATACGAGCAAATGTACTGGATAAGTCATATGTATAGTACTACTTTATGTTTAAACTATACGTGTAAGTACTTAGAACAACTGGAGAGAGAAACATTCTTTAGAGGACACTGCTGGAGAACTACAGCTTGTGGCGGTATTATAAACATGTATAGTCAAACCTGTCCTAGACAATCACCCATTGTTGAGGAGAAAAGTGATTATATTTGACAGGTGGTCTTCTTGGTCATCGTCATTTATTTTAATATAGAAAAAAAATCAAGGGAGTATAAGTGGTTGTTTGTACAGGTGATTGTCTTGTGCAGGTGGTCTTCTAAGCAGGGTCCACTATAATATAATATGTATTTCGGCTATCAATTTCCCTTTAACAGGTAATCACATATCACCCTGACAACTGGGAGACAGTACATAATTATATAATTATACAAAGCCTTCTGCCATGTCTTAATTAATATGTGAAGGACACATGCGCCCTCAACTCCCCGCTTGGCTTCACAGAAGAAAAAGGAAATATTGGTGGTCAATAGTTCTTTTAAGTCACAATCTTGATTTAATATTATCTGCACGAAAAGGTTCCCTCAATTCATTCAGCTCTTTCTGTGCATTTGCAGGTGTTGTACTCTGATAAATCCGTCGTTGTGTCTGCCCCCACGGGATCAGGGAAAACTGTGGCTTTTGAGCTGGCGATCGTTCGACTATTGCTGAAGACTGACGGGGCTGGGCAACAGGACAAGATTGTGTATAGTAAGTTCACGCCGTTTTCTGTGAAACTGGGGATGGGGGTACTATTTAAGAAAATATTGTTACTTTATAAATTACGTTATGAATTCATTTACTATCATATTATCATCATTACTATTATTAATTTTTAAATATATTATCATTACTATTATTATTAGTAGTAGTAGTAGTAGTAGTAGTAGTAGTAGTAGTAGTAGTAGTAGTAGTATCATTATTATTATTATCATTATTATTATATTACATGATTTGGTCATTTTGCTATGTATGAGCATACACCAGTCCTGTATCCCAACTTCTACCCAGCACACTAAAGAACCACAATTTACTTACATGTTAGTTATTTATGTTATTGTTTGTTTTTAAAGTAATCACTGGGCCAAGTGCCCTGTTCTAAAAAAAAACTTGATTTCTTATGACACTGGCTTGTATTTTGCCTAAAACCAAAGCAGTCTTAACAGGCTGACGTATTGCAGCGTGTGTATTTTTGCAGTGTCTCCAATGAAGTCCTTGTGTGGAGAGAGATTTCAAGACTGGTCCACCAAGTTTACCTGTCATGGGCTCAATTGCCTGGAACTGACCGGTGATACAGAGCTAGATGACTTGTCGGAACTGTTTGCCTCAAATCTCATTTGTACCACTCCTGTCAGTTTTATTTGTGTGTTTTGTTTGTTGGTTGTTGTTTGTTGTTTTGTTTGTTTGTGGGGGTTTTTTTTTGCTTTTGTTTGTCTTTTTTTTGGTCTTTTTTGTTTGTTTAAACAATTGGGCTAATCTCAGTGGGCATAAGATGTTTTAGTTTTATATTGCAACAAAAAGACAACGCTTTCTCTGTCATCCAGAAGGTGATCATCATTAAAATTTATGACCAGAATCACAAGAGAGCCTTGTAGTAGTCATGGTAACTTGTTCAACATTGTCATCATTTCAGACAAATGTTTCATTCTGAAAGATTTATTTGATCTATCATTTTAATAGATATCAATCTCATTGCTTTGAAAATGATATCGCTGGTTGTCTGTCTTTTGTTTCCAGGAGAAATGGGACAGCATGTCGAGAAGATGGAAAGACAATAAGATGTTGTTTCAACAAATCAAGCTATTCCTCATTGATGAGGTATTGTCGTCCATGCATGGGAGAGATGTACTTATTTTTTCACAATGATGTATTTCAGGCCCCATTGGAAAATGCCACTCAGTTACTGTAGCCTACTCTCTTTTCCCAATTTCTGTTCTTGGTTTCTTTTTTGTCTTTGTAAATTGTCCCAAAGGATTGTCATTCTCTTTTTTCTTTTAGTTTCACTTTTCTCCCCGCAGGTTGTAGTGAATTACATTTAGTGAGAATGTTGGACATTGTTTCATACATATATATTGAAAGGGCCTGCAGTATGGTGTATTGACAAATGCAGAGCATTCAGTTATTGGTTTTAAACTGTTGCTGAATATGACCATGAATATAAGAGGCTGAGAGTTGGGAAGAATGCTGTTGGTTTTTACTTTTAAAATAAAATGTCTTTCATGAAATCGTCTATGACTACTTGGGGATTCTTAAAGTATTGACTTGATTGGTCCCAAAGTAACTAGCCGAAAAAACAACTTAGGTGTCGGGGTTTTGGGTATAAAAAAACTCAACAACGCTACTCCTCACTTGGTGAATCTGACGAAAGACTGGGTCCGAAGGCTCTGCTGGAAAGTGTTGCTGCTTTTTTCACATAATGTTGACCTTGCTCCATCAGTTCCTTCGTTTTAGGCTCCCAAAGCAATATTTAGCTGGAAAGAAATTCAAAAATGATTTTGATTTTATCCCAAATGTTGAGTTGAAGTATGGCTGCAGTCTTTTGACCAGGATTTTTCCTAGAAGATTGAGGGGGGGTGTTCTCTAATGAGCCGCTTGGGAAAGACATGAGTTCCATGGGGGCGCTATGTTTAAAAGCAGCTGCATGGTGTCACTATGTAAAGGCAAATGTGGTTTAAATCCATGTGAAATTGGTTGTTGTTGCTTTTTTGGTCACCATCGTACTTTACTTTTGGTCAGCCGAGATAGTTACTCTACTTAGATATGTATAGTAGGCCTACTTATATCTATATGTGCAGAGCTTTCTATGTGCAGTTATGTTCTAAGTTCCAGTGACAAAATTCCCTCCTCCCATAGGTTCACATCCTGAATGACCCCAACAGAGGGGCCACAGTGGAGGCTGTGGTCAGCCGCATGAAGACTCTGCAAACTTCCTGTCACTCGGCCACCAGCAACCACATACGCTTCGTCGCTGTCTCTGCCACCATGCCAAACTACAACGATGTACACAAAAGCTTTTCTTGTTCTTTGGTTTTGTTATGTGGTATAATTGTTGTTTGAAAGAATGTTCGAAATGTTAGGACTTTTTAGAATTTTTTTTACGTAGAGTGTATTGTTTTATTTATTTCAGAATGATAGATGCCTGTAGCGAATGGTATATTTATATTGCATTCTTTATTTCTTTCTCCTGAAAAATTCATTCACAGATTTATTGTAGTAAATTCTAAAGTGATCATGGATAAGCCAGGTAGGGCAAATGTACGAAGAAAAAAAAGTGAAATGTGAAAGAGGAATTGTGGGAGTTGTGGGGGGGGGGGGGGTGACTTATTTTTTCTGATTTACGTGTATGTAGGAGCACCATCAACTGTATTTGTGAGGCAGCGTGGTGGAATCAGGCTCTCGTCAATTTTTGGGTATGTAGAGTTATTGGTATCATCTTAAAGCTTGTTCACTTGTCTTTATTTGGATTAAATAAATATTCATTTATCTTTTATACAAGTCGAGATATTTGCGACAGAAGTAGGTGGGGGTCATCTGTTTTCAGATGTAAAATTAGTGAGAAAATGGCCGCCAAAGGTTAGTTATTTCCTTAGCTTAAGAGTCCGTGGTAACTGAAAATTTTAATTTTTGTGCCTTTAATCAACGCTTTTCAGAAAAATTCACACAGAAATGAGTTCTTTAATTGGTATGAAAGGTGTTGAGCCAAAAAACAAAAATTTGATAAAAATTCACAAGCGTGCGGAAAAATGCAAGTTTGTTCACTTTGATTACTTTGAAAAGAGCCTGATTCCACCACGCTGCCTCACTTTTGTCTGCCCTTCTGTTTTTTAATGTTATCAATCAAAGAGGAGCTCCTGACTTTGAAGACTTAGTGGTTGAAAGAAATTGTCAGTGATTTTCTATAGCTAATATATATTAATGAAGTCGTTGTTTTATCCATTTGAGCCCTTGTCTCTTGAACTTTCAGGGATGGTGCCTGAGGTCCTTATAGATTTACCGTCACCTCACACTAAGTGTGCATTCAGTGCACAAATAGTTATATGATGCTTTGGTCCTTTGCGTAAAAAGTGTTACCTGTTTGCTTCAGATCACCGACTGGCTGAGTACACCAAGCAGACCAGCTGTGTCTTTCAAGTAAGATGTTGGTTGTCTCAGTACCCAAGAGAGTGGAGTTTGTCAATGAGTGACTTTTTCCTTCAGTTCTTGTATCTGTTTAGTTAAAGGTTATGAACTCGGTTTTGACTCTTTTTACATCTTTATCTTATATCCTGGGCAAATATTGTTTTAGAAAAGAAAAAATATTAGTAGTCGCATCAGAAGCAAATATACTCGGGGAATGGGAAATGAATATTATAAAATGTTGTTACAAGTAATTTCTTTTGACCGTCTCCCTCTTCGTGAGAACTGTTGACGTGTTTTAAGTACAGATCTTCCTTTTTTGTAAGTTTCTCAAAAAAACAACGTTGTTTTTTTCCAAACGTATAAATCTCTGTCTAATACCGCCACTTTTCTCCATTAGACAATGAGTGGCCATCTTAGACAGGATCGACTATGCTTGTATACTGCCAAGTAATGATTCCCCTCTTTGTGTTTCAATTAGGAATTTTTATTCCTTTTTGCAAGTCTCTCAAAGAGCCCGGTTTTTATTTCAAATGTATAAATATCTGTCAAAAACGCCACTTTTCTCATTGAAAATGAGTGGCTGTGTTAGACAGGCTTGATTGTACTTGTATACTGCTAAGTAATGATTCCCCTCTTTGTTGTGTGACAAATAGCCTGGAAGAAAAGTACCGGCCCGTCAAACTGGAGAGAGTTGTGATGGGGTATCCCTTCAAAGAGGGGACCTCTGAGTTCCGCTTTGACATGAACCTTTCGTATCGGCTCAGGGCCATCATTGACAACTACTGCCATGGGAAACCCACTCTAGTGGTAAGGATGTTCTTACCTCGAAAGCTTGTTTGTTTCTTAATTATCTTTTTTTACTTTTTTAGTTTTCCAAATTTACCTTTACAAAATACTTTGCCTGCATGCTTTTGTACGTCATTCAAATATTGCATGCACAATTTTTGCATCAAACCTTTTTTTTATTGGTTCTAAAAATTTAACTTTACAAAAGATTTTGTATGCTTTGTGGGTCATTCAAATACATGTATTTGCATGCATTTCTTTCCATTCAGTGTTTCTGAGTCTAGGTAGAAATTCTCTTTTGCTTACTTTGTTTCCTGTTTTACTAACATGTCTTTCAAGTGCCAAATTATGGTGAAGATGAATATTTACTCTCTTCAGTTTCTTAACAACTTTTTTATTTTCATGTGGGAAACTATAATGTAAATAACAAAACATTGCGTCATGGGTAAACAGTTGAGGTAACTTTTTCATCACTTTTCCACACTGCACAGCAGTTTTACTTTTTTGGTTTAGAAATCTGATCCATCTGGTGATCTATTGCTTGTTGTTTGCTGTCACTCCAATCGTCGTCGTCGTCGTCTTATTATTAT